CCTCTTTGTCCTTGGATCTCCATGTTCTATAGGCGGTTTGTTTTTTTTAAAGCAATGGGTCTTAAAATAAACAAACAAACATCTGGATGCTTTTTTTCTCTTCTCAGCCTTGGGGGAGGAATAAACACTCCTGGGACCTGGATGGGTAGAGCTCGGCATGCCCAGGGCTGGGCTACTCACCGGTAGATGTGCAGAGTCAGACAGTGGGCCTGCCAACGCACGGACGACGAGTTGGATTCCAGCAGGAAGCAGCGCAGGAACTGAATCAGAGTCTCCTTGTCGGCAAATTTGTTCAGCTGGTTCACCAGAGCGGTGCAGAGCTGGTCTTCCTGGCTGCCCGAGGAGCCGTCTCCTGGGAGAGAATTCAGAGGGCTCAGCGATGGCCCTGCCAACCGTCAAGAGGACGGTGGCAACCGCAGCCCAAAGGCCTCCCAGCCTCCTCACCCTCTCGCTCCTTCTCCTTGTCTTCCTTCTTGCTCTTCTTGGTGGAGGATTTGCTTTGCCCGGACGGCTGGCCTGAGCTGGATCCTCCGGGGACTGAAGTGCCCGAAGACCCTGCCGAAGACGACCCAGAGAGGACCTTGCTGCCACAGAGGGCGCAGGAGAGCAGCTGCAGGAGGACGGGCGAGACGCCCTCGTCGACCAGGAAGCTGACTTGCAGGAGGAAATAGAGGACAGCTGGAAGAAGAAGATGAGGAGGAGGAAGAGAAGGGGAAGGTTGGTTTTGCTTCCACACTCATGAACAAGCACCCCTTAAATCTGATTTCTGCAAGACGCTATGGCCAAGTAGAGGCAGGCAGGAACAAGCCCACTGCAAAAGTGCTGAGTATGGGGGCAGCTTCAGGCTCCTTAGGTTCTACAAGCAGAAGTTCAGGATGCAACTGGCCAGGAACTAGGAATCTTTGTCCCTTCCTGGCTGCTTCCCATCAGCCTCCCCACCTCCCCCAACCCAAGAGCCAAAAGAAGAGTACGAGGCTCCCGTTGGATCCTCTGGAGCGGGGCCACCGTTCTTTTTAAACCCCCAAGGGACTTACAATCGTCTTTGATGCAGAATTTTTGCCAGTTGACCGTGCGCTGGGTGGCAATTTCGGCACAGGCCTTCAGGTGCTCCATCTGGAAGGGGCACAAGAGAGGAGGAGGGATGGAGGAGGAGGAGGAGGAGGGGGGATGGAGGAGAAGGAGGAAGGATGGAGGAGGAGGAGGGGATGCAGGAGGAGGGATGGAGGAGGGAGGGAAGAGGAGGATGGAAGGAGGAGGAGGATAAAGTTTTTGGGGTTAACATCTGCAAAGGCCAGATGTTTGTTTGAACAAATGGCACCCAAGGAACTTTAATACCGATATGAAAACTGGGCTTCCCTGTGTCATTTTATGCCAAGTCCAGATGTTGCTGACTTATGACGTCTGCCATACATGGCCTCAGAGCTCTGGGGAGCCACGGTTCTCTCAACCTGGAGCTTTGAGCTCATGGTTGCATCTTTACCGAAGCTCTCGCTTCTCCTCAGCCCAGAAACTCCCCAAGCTCCTCTGGAAGTGTTCAAAATCTTTCTCTCTCCTCTTCCCATCAAACTCAAGACCTGGACCGTCCTGGGAAAGGCTGGTCCCCGCCTTCCATATCCCATGGGGCAGATGGCAGGAGGAGCGGGAGAGAATCTCCAAGCAAGGGACAGATTGGGGGCTCAAAGGCCTATAACCTATGGCACACATGCCACAGATGGCACACAGAGCCCTCTCTGCGGGCACGCAAGCCGTCGCCCACCTCAACATGTGTGCGCGCCTCACGCCAGCTAGCTGATATTCATGTCTCTGTTGTGCATGCGCGGGGAGGGGCGCATGTAGGAGACGAGTGTGCAGGAGCAGCGGGTTGCGGGGATCGAGGGGAGCACGGGTGTGTGTGCAGGCCCAGGAGGCTGCAGAGAGGTGGTCGCGTGTGCATGCATGTGAGGGGGGAGCACAGGGGAGGGTTGCGCACGCATGTGAAGGGGGCAGGGCGGGACAGGTGGGGGGAAGGGTTAGGTGCGCATTGCATTATGGGTGTGGGCGCGCACCTAGAACAAACCTAGGGGTTTATCCACACCAAAGAGGACGGATCGAAGGTTGCAGAGTTCCTTCTCAAGGTGCTTCGGCCAAACACCGAAGGCAGGTGCGCGCGCGCAC